TGTATAATATTATATCAAAAGATACGTTAAATCTACACCATCATGGGTTTAGAACATTATCAATACCGTCCAAACTTATTTAGGTGTTCTAAAATGCCAAATTTTCACACGATAACTTTATAAGATATTGCGGTTTGGAAATACCAATTTATAAAGTATTTCGAATCATATGTTGAACAGTAAAGATACCTATTTTAAGACTTGAAATCTTTTGCTTTTTCAATTCATGCATCGCGAAGTTGAGATAATTAATTAGAGGGTTCTCGAACGTCAGAGCAACTTTTTTTCATTTATTTATTTTTGTGATGTGATCATTTCTATAATATAAGGCCAACACTTTCTATAAACATTTTTCCAAAATTTTTTAGGGAATGATCTTGTTGACATCATATATATTTTGAGAATCTAGAAAAGTATATATTAAAAACTACACAATAAAATCAGAAAAATTATTAAAGGACACAAAAATGCACAGCGCTAACCTTAGGGCTTCCCAAGAGAGGGTGTCCGAACCGGAATGGAGGTCGAGGTCGAGGTCGAGGTCGAGGTCGAGGTGGAACCAAATTATGGCCTCACCATCAAGGGTCGTCGGAAATAAGCGAAGAAGCAATGCCGGGTCTGTCGTGTTATTTGCACGGCATGTGAGATCGAAACGGCAGATATGCAAAGCCGGACACTCACTGGGGTCGCCCTTAAACACCGGCAACGGTAAAATGGTCAAATAATTCGCGTCCCTCATTTTAGAAGCAATATTCATTTTCTGCTGCCCTGAAGTGAATTTTCGACTTGACGTATTCCTGGTCTGCAATTTTTGTATCTTCGGGAGAGTTCGGCTCTCATTATCTTCATCAAAAGAGTATCCCTCTTCCTCTGAATCTCCTTCTTGGCGATCCGTATCTGTAAATTCCGTCTCACTTTGACTGGAAGTGTAATCGCTACCGGAAAAGTCATTCTTAGCGCGTGCAAGTTGCTGGAATTTTCCTCTCCTGCCTTTTTGTGCGACGGAGTTTGAGTTTTCTGACGACGAGATGACCGGAATTTTCCTCATCTTTGATGTTTTGTTTTGGTAAAAATGGTAGACGGTTTTGCATTTTAAAATTTTGATGTAAGGTTGAAGTAATGCAACTGTAGGAAACGGTGCGTTCCCTGCGCACAAATACAATTATTTCTAAAACACCCTTTGCATCAATTCTCCTTTACAAGTTTGCCCCTCTTTCCAATAATAATAACGCGTCCATTTTTCTTAGATACTAGCATCCCCAATAAGCTATTTTCTATCTCTACATATAGGATGCGGCTTAGGCCTTGCTTTAAAATGGATGGTCTAGATAATGTGTTCCAATATATAATATCATGAAGGATTGAAATTCATATTTTTTTCACATCCATAATGGACAAGATCGAGATGATTGAATGAAAGGTTTTCTGACATCAAAACTGCAATTTTTGTGAGATTTTACTATTTATTTATAAGAAAAATATATAACATGAGACTATTTACTTATTAAATAAGGTGGTCACAATCATCATTGACCGTTAGATTTCAAATAGGGTGGTTAAGGATATGTTTGAGATGAAAGTCCAAAATAAAATTTACCGAATGTTGTGGTACACTTTCATCTATTGGATTTCATATCTAATAGCTAAAAGTGATTACGACCTTCTTATACAAAAAATAATTATAGTCATAATATATAATATCATTTTCTCAGCTATGTAGACGGATCCCTCCCTTACTTTGTTGAATTTCGTCCAGCCGAAAACAATGAGGAGCCCAATATGAGCCCTGCGTTCCTCAATCGGAAGCGACAAGACCAGCCGTTACTCAGCTGGATTATCTCGTCCCTCGCAGAGGGCATCCATTCCCAGATTGTGGGTCTTACCATCTTCCACAAACTATGAACTGCACTAGAACTCTCGTTTTCAAATTACTCACGAGCACGTATTAAGCGATTGTGATTCCAGTTGCAGATTATTAAAAAGGGATCATTAAACATTGCTGATTATTTTCAGCAAGCAAAAATCATAGCCGATCATCTTGCTGCAATAGGAAAGCTAGTTTCTGATGAAAATTTAGTACTTAACGTTCTTGGTGGACTCCCCCTTGAGTAAAATTCGTTTTTGACCTTTATAACTACAAAGTCTGATTCAATTACCCACAGTGATCTCCATGGCATTTTGCAAAGGCAAGAGATTCGACTCTCAGATCAACATGGCATGCTGTATATTGGCTCTTCATCGGCCAACCTTGCAACCACACAAAACAACTCAAGGGGCACGCCAATCAGTTCCCAAACGATGGGCACGATGGCCATGGTCGTGGTCAAGGCCATGGCCAGCAATAAAAAAATAACTCTCATTTTGGCAAGCAGCAAGGTAATCGCTCACGCATATCTCGCTAAGTATGCAATCCTGTGGGCCACTCAGCCCTCCAATGTCGACATCGCTTTAACCATTCCTTTCAACCTGATTTGGATGTAAACCTGAATGCCTTTCATGCGGCCCACTCCACCATCGACGATGCATGGTACCCAGATTCAGGAATGTCTAACCACATTACTGCCGATATTTCCAATCTTTCTCTCCACTCAGAATATACTGGACCAGAATAGATAAAAATTGGCAATGGTACAAGTTTGTGCATAAAAAATATTGGTTCTTCAAAACTTACTACAAACAATGCTACATTTTTCTCTTTGGAATATTCTGCATGTTCCTTCCATTTTCTACAATTTATTGTCAGTAAATCAGGTTACAAAGGCTAATGATGCTGTGTTTGAATTTCACCCTTCATATTTTGTTGTAAAGGATTCATCAACGGGGAGAGCTCTACTGCATTTATTCAAATTGGAGGTAGCATAAAAGATGAACAATAATAGTACGGGTTAGGCATTCCTTGGTGAAAAAGTTGCAATGAAGCAATGGCATAATCGATTAGGGTATACAACAATGCCATAATTAGGCGAATAATTTAATAAAATAAATTATTTGTTTTATGTAATAAGGCTTCTCATGTTTGTGAAGCATGTTAGAAAGGGAAAAGTCATAAACTTCCTTATTTGCCCTCATCCACTATTAGTAATCCACCATTTGATCTAGAATTTTGTAATGTATGGGGGCCTCTACTGATCGCATTTATAGAAAGCTATCACTATTATGTTCATTTTTTGGATCGCTTAGTCGATTTATGTGGATATTTCATCTTCTTTAAAAATCAGATGTTTATGACACTTTTCTAAACTTTAAACCTTTGGTTGAAAATTTATGTGAAATACGTATTAAGTGTTTATAAACAGATTGGGGTGGAGAATATCAACATTTATCTCCATATTTTGGCTTCTTGTGGGATAGAGCATCGTCTATCTTATTCACATATCTATAAGCAGAATGGTTATGCCGAATGCAAACACAGGCATATTGTCGAAATAGGCATGTCATGTGGAAACATGAACATCCCAATTATAAGTTATCAATGTGTAATTGTTGAAATAATGGTGGAAATCTTTTGATGTTTAGGAATAGGCTCAAGGGCAGGTAGTCAGAGTGGAAGGGACACAATATAACAACTTGAGTTGCCTTTTTTTTTCAAAGGAGGGGGATCTCTTTCCCCCTGGACTATCTAGAAAAGAAATCTCTTAGATGCTCATTAGAATAGGTCGAGGGTACATGCTTGAAAACAGTATTATCAATATTAGAATGGGTGCAGATTTTGGTTCAAAAAAAGATCTAACCATTAGTAGAACTGGTCGCACTAGATTAAAAAAATAAGATTTATAGACCAAAAATATATACTATATTTTAAACTGACTTGCCCAATTTTGTTTAAATGATCTAAATTGTCAAATTTAACATATATTACTTGATATAATCAACCAAATATTTGTTTTAACCCTTTTTTTTTTTTTTGTGAAATTTAGCTTTTACTTTGGACCATATCAACTAAAGCACCACCCAACTATCCTTGTTGAGCTGGCCAGTCATGTCCTACCTTGATAACAATGCCTAGGAAAAATTCAATTATCTCCAAATGTTGCAACTTTTTACTACTGTAATAAAGTGCATCTCAAAAATATTCTAGAGGAGATTGTTTATATGTTAGAGAACCCTTTAATTGATCATCTCAACATTGAGATGTGCAGATATTGAAATAATAATAATTTCAAGTCTAAACAATAATACAATTTATAAGAAGTTATCTGGAATGTCTATTTTTAATGTTTTTAAATGCTCGTATATCTATTCAATCTGCACAATTTTTAAAAGATTTTCAAAACATCATAAAGTTTCCAATACCGGAACTACATCTCCAAACAAATTTTAGCGACGGTGCCTCACAAACCTCACCCTTAGTTCAATATCCCTTACTTGGTCTAAGTTCGAGATTTGACACTAATAATATGCATTGATTGGTTCTTTAGGAGCATTACACAATGGCGTGCAAATCTATTTTTGGAAAATTCACTTGACTCCATCTATTTTTAAAACGCACTGTAGATCCACAAATTGGATCAGTAACAGTAACACGGTCAAGGTTCTGTTTTTGGAAATGTTACTTCTTGGCCCCATCTCTCCATCTCGAAAAGGCCATAACTGCAAAATAAGATACACTCCTCACTTAATATGAAATAGATTGAGAAAGTTTATATACAGAGCCCACCTAAAAAATTTGACTAGAAAAGATTGTTTTGATAATTTATAGTATTTTTAGAGCTTGATATCTTTTTTTTTTTTCAACCATAGTTTCAAGTCGGGATGATCAATATAAAGTTTTCTTCCAATGCTTGACTTGTAATTTTGGATGAGTTATGAGGATTTACTTATTTTGGTAGCAACCATTTTCCTTCTTTAATTGATTTTGACATGGATTAAAAAAAGCTCCCAAATAAAAAACAAGGATCCTTCGCATCAGGTGACCTACCTAAAAATCAAAAGCCACACACAAATCCAAAAAAGAAACTGAGCAAAAGAAGTGCAGTTCCATCTTTTAGCTATGATATTGATAATCTTCAAAAACCACTCTCAAAATCAAAAGCAAGGATTACAGAGCAAGTAGGATACATAGTGAGAGAAAGCTTAGAGAGAGAGAGAGAGAGGAAAGAGAGAGAGAGAGAGAACACATTCCCTATCTGCATAATGACTTGTGATTTGGATGGTGACGAGAAACACCAAACAGTGCAACCTCAGCCTCCGAACCACAAAAGCAATTCTTCTCTCTTTTCCCATCCCCACTCCCATCTTCATCAAACCCCAGCACCTTCATCATCTTCGAGCCACTCTCCTTCTGCTCCAAAACCCTCAAAACCTTCTCGAAAACAGCGGTTTCGCAGGGGATGGTCAGCACTCCCTCCTGCTCGAACCCGAACTCCTCTTCAGCTTCTCGGAGGAGATGCTCGAAAGCTCGGTGGCGCAAGTACTCCATTGGAATGATGAATCTCTTGAGCTCTTGGCCGACGCAGACTGCAAGGTATCCTTTCGGGACATTTGAGGCCCAAGTGGAAGAGTAAGAAGAAGATGGGGTATCAGTGAAAGAGAGGGTTCTTTTGAGGAACTTCAGGCCTTTGCTTGCAGTGATGGTGGTGGTACTTGTTTTGGTGGAGGAAGATGCAGCAAGCTTTCTCCATTTTTTTGAGGATTTGTTGGAGCTTAACAATCTCTCTAATCTTGTTGAATTTCTTTGCTTCCATTGAGAGATTGTTTCCACAATGCTGGTCAGAGAGAGAAAGACAGCTTTTTAGAGAGAGAGAGACAAAGAGTTTTAGAGAGAGAACGAGGGAGAGAGAATGCAAGTTTTAGAGAGAGGGAGGTTGGCTGAGAAAGGAGACTTGATGAAGGAAGAGGGAGAGGATATATATATATATATATATATATATAAGGAAGTTGGCTGCGTAGAGTCTTCTTCAAAAATAACTGCCGTTTCTCTTCTTTAAAAGAACTAACATTAATGTGGAAGTTCATAATTATTAACTTCAATGAATGCTCTCCATTAATTTATTCTCAATCTCTTCTCGGGTGCAGAGTTAACTGTGGAAGTTAAAAAGGGCGGTTTTTAGAAAGGTACTAACCTTTTTCCAAAGGATAAGCCCGCATACGTAGATATGCGCGCCTCTTGATAATTCTATTTTTGAGATGGATTTTTAGACTTAATTTTTAAATATATGAAATCTCTATCATGAAGATCACGAATATGAAAAATAAATAATTTTTTAAAACTATAAATAATAATTCTAAGAAGAAAATATTTGGATGGTTAGTTTTCATTGTTTTTAGATGAAACACCTATTTGCATCCATCGTAAAAACGGATGTTTTGCACTTTTTGGATCGCATGTATAGTCATGCGGTCCAGCCCACATGAAACAATTTTTCTCTCCGAAAAGGAAACTTGTTTCATGTGGGTTGGACCGAAAAGGAAAATTGTTTCATGTGGGTTGGACCGAAATGGAAAATTGTTTCATACGGGTTAGACCTCATGACTACATATGCGGTCCAGAAAGTGTAAAACATCCATCTTAAAGATTGATGCAAGTAGGTGTTCCATCTAAAAACAATGGAAACCAACTGTCAAAATGTTTTCTTACTAGAATTATTATTTCTAGTTTTTAAATTTTTTTATTTTTTCATATTCATAATCTCCATGTTAGAGATTAAGTGCCCTTAAAATTTAAGTTCCAAAATCCATCTCAAAAATATATTTATTAAGAGGCTCGCATTTCTACGCCGCATAGAAACCAGGTCTTTTTTAAAATGCCATGAAGTCCCACACTCGTACTGGCTCTCTATGAGCCGACTAGCCTATGACCCAATGTAGGCCAGTATCTTCAAGAAGAGATTGGTTATTGAATTCGTTTGAGGTCTAGTCTAGTTAAAATTGATTTGATTTTTAACAAATTGAACTAAAAATTTTAAAAATAAAAAATAAAAATATTTGAAAAAAATAAAATGCATTACAAAATAGAATTGTCCAATGCCTATTTGGCCCGACTGGTAAAAAAATGGGCAATTAAATCGGCCAAACACTGATTCTGATCAGTTTTAAATCAAATCAGGTTTTTGTATTGAATTGGATAGGCCAATCGGACCATGTATTGCGGTTTGGAATCGATAACCATGGTAAAACCTAGATAGATAAGTTTGAAGGAGAAGTGATGAAAGGGGCAGCTGAGAAATGTGAAATTGTTTTCATCTCAGATTTTTGTCTGAATTCGAATTTTTAGGGCCTACACAAAATTTGGGGTTCATCTCATTTATCTTATCAAGGCTTGTATTATAGGTCGGTTGGCTCATGTAATCATTTTCTTGGGATTTTTTTTTCTTTTTTTTTTTTGTACTTTTAGTCACTTATATTGTATTGTATCAAATGGCTATCACGGATTTTGCTATAGTACCAAAGATAGATAGTATTATAATGCACAAAAAAATCGTTGATTTGAATTAATTTGCTTTCCCAGTGACTCAAATTAATAGAAATCTATATAAAAGAGTAACCTAAGATGTAGTATTCTACACCATCCATTTTTATTGGACGGTTAAAAGATATATCGATTTTTTATGTTGTCGTAAAAAATACCTCAAATCTACATTAGCGAACTAACAATAAAGAAAACAGAAAGAGAAAAAATAATCTACACCGAACTAAAATCAACGATATAGAATACCACAATCTTATTTCCATAAGTGTAAATGTGTCTTATATAGAGATTCAGTTTAAAATAGCTAGTACAATAAGATCCACATGGTCATGAAAACTTCAGGACTAGTGGTTATCACTGTCGATGTGGGTCACACACATAAAATATCAAGTAGATGAACTTTGTCATCACATTCCAACCAAATTAATTGGACGGTGATAAGTTTGTTGGTCATGTTCATCATCGTCAAAACCTTTTCCCAACTAATTGAGGTCCGCTAAGTTTGTTGATCATGTTATGGATCATAAATACGTGTTAATAAAAATAGATTTTTTATGTACAAACTTTGTAAAATTATTGAAGTCACCATTTGATCCTTCCGTAATTTTACCAAAAGGTTCGAGACCCCTATTTGTTTGTTCAAACTTGCCCCCTCGTTCGATATTTCAAATATCGAATTGCTTATTTTTTTAATTTTTGCTTCTTTTTATAACTTTCATGGGGTTGTCCGATGTCTAAAATATTGAGCCATCTCATTTGTAAGGCGGTCCAATGTAGATACATGGACCACCCTACAATTTTTGTCTAGCTTTGTTTATGGGGCGGTTTGACGTTAAAAACATTGGACCGCCTTCACTTAGTGCTTTTTTTTGTTTTTTGTTTTATAGTTGAGTGAGTGATTGAACATCTTGCAGCTAAAATATAAAAAAAGATATGAGAAAAGACGGTCAGATATTTGTAACATTTTGCCACCCCATTGACAATGTTGGACGGAAAATTCAAGGGGTCTGATGTTACTCTTATCTGGCCTCTATGTAGATTGGGCAGTTCGATACGTTAAACATCAATTTGCCCAACAAATGTAAAAAAAATAAAAAATGGGCCATTATATTTGAAATATCGAACCTTCTTCAAAATTAAAAACTAAAAAATAAAATGAGATTTGGACCTCATAGTAAATTACCAACCTTATAGGCCAAAAGGTAATTTCAATATTTTTACCCTGTAGGCATATAAAAACCCTTGGAAGAAAATTTTAAGAAAGAAAAGAACAAAGGCCTCATCGTGGTCAAGGCCAAGGTGGCCGTGGCCATATGGGAATTTTGGTGGTACACAAATCCGTACTTTTAAAAGGGGTTTGTTACTATTAGTGGTGGCTTTATTAAAATATTTGATCAAATTATTAATAGGGCTTGTTATGAATAGTATTAAAATAATTGATTAAATTATTAATGTGGCCATGATCATTAAGGAGCATGTGAGAGTCAGCGAATGGCAAGGAATTTGTTGTTTTTAAAAAAAATCCCCCTTTTCTTCCTTTGACTGAATTGTGTTTAGGAACTGACCACAAGCGTGCTTATTTGCTGAGGATGACAAAAATGCTCCTGACCTTCTGCAAGAAGTAGCCTAGGAAAAGGTAAGCTTACATGGTAGAGTTACATTTACAGAAAGGTTATTTTGGTCATTGAAGCTAGTAGCAGGAGAATTAATGGCTAAGTTGGGTTAAGCATTGGGAGTCTATACGACTGTCATCGCACCAAACGAGGCCAAATTTATCGTACAACGTTGGGGATCGCAAGAAAGTTAGGGTTTTGAATTTGGTTTTTCTTGGAGAGAGAGAGAGAAAGATAGATGGAAGCTAATATTGAAGTAGGAATGAAGGAAGAGAGAGATGATAATATTAAAGAGGGCATGAACAGTTTTATCATACTATAATGCAATCACATTTTTAAAAAATTATTTTTTTAGTATTTGTATAATCCAAAATTTTACACATACACTTTCATCGTTTCAATAATCAATTCCAAAAAAAAAGAAATTTCAATTTAGACCTGGTCAAAATTAGATGACTCCAACAACAAATGTAGGCCATTCATTTGGTGAATTTTAAGATCTTAGTCGTTACAAATTCAAAATCATTTTTTTATTTTTTAACATTGTTTATCTAATGATAATAAAGCCATCTAAAAACATGGTCTGGAAAAAATCATTCTAAGGCCTAGATCTAAGCATCGTATCAAAATGGACGGTCAATGTTAATTGGGCTAAAAAAATCCTTTTTAGGTTATATTTTCAAATTTATTGTTTGTTTTTGTTGTGATTGTTCATTAAAATGAAAGGAGTGTGTATTTCAAAAGTTGGATCAAACAAATAACCCTAACATAATTTTTTAATATTATTGCATTATACTATAATACATCCATCGCATGAAATGACTACCCGAGATGTTAATATTAAAGTGGGCATGAAGAGAGAGATGATAACACTAAAGGAGTCATGAAGAGAGAGAGATTAGAGAGACAAAGGTCATAACACTAAACTGGGCATGAAAAGAATCCGAGAGAGGAAGAGATGCTAATGTAACATGCAAATAAAAAGATAGAGAGATGTTAATATTAAAGGTTGTGGTTTGTATAGAACCGATGCTCTAAACAATCAAAGTAAAGCGCTCTTTTAAATAGTATGGAGAAATGTGGTTTCAATACTGAAAGTCTTTGTGATAGCCTTAAAATATAATTTCATCTTTAATTATAAAATTTAAAGCTTCAAAGATAATTTAGATAGAGTAGATCTATGAAAATTTGAAAATATTGAAAATTGAGGGTCCAAATATGTCTTACAAGATGCACTATTTTCAAAACTTGAAATCCATTTTTTTCTCATGTCCATGCATCTTGATGTCGAGATGATCAGTTTCAGGATATTCGGGCATCAAAACAACCGCTTCTAGTGAAAATTTTGAGGTAGGCTCTAATTTGATTGTTTAGAGCCTCGGCTCTATATAAACTTTTTCCAGTATTAAATGGGCAAGTTTCTATACTTCTCCTAATGTATAATAGTTATACACTTCCCCTTACCTAGCCGTCAGATCGAAATGAATGGCTAAGATGGATCCAATTACATTGTCATGTCTCTATACTGTTTTAATTTTAATTTTTTCTACAAAATATATTGACACAAAATTTTGAGCGTTCACTCCTCTCTTAAATTCGCACCTATAAAAAATATAAAAAATATTTTTTATAAAATAAAATGACTAAAATACTCTTGAAAGTTTCGAAAGTATTTTAGCTATTTTACTTTATTAAAATAATTCTTTAAGGGGCATCCCATTGAGACTAATAGTACATGGCAAATTTCATATTC